GACAGTTCGGTCAAAGATGGAAGCTCTACAGATCGCAGATACCGCTTGTTCGCACAACCACAACTCAACTATGGCTATCGATGCTATTCGACCGAACTAGCTTCCGATGGAAGAGCGTCAATCTATCATGCCAACAGAGATCCGAATTTTTTATCGTCGGAACATGGCCTAGATGGACKATCAAGAAACTTAGATTGGGCTGGGAGCCAAGGTTGTTGGGAGCTGTCAGTTGAGCTGCCACCTATAACTCCGCATTCTGCCACTCGCTCAGTTTGCGGGGTTCGTCCCCGGCTTTGCATTGCGGCATTTGGTATTCGGATGCACCACCAAATGCCGGGAACCATCTATGTCGGATTGACATCGGATTCGAGCTTTTATACTTTTATCGGATCAAGGGAAGACCCCAGCTGTCAGAAGGGGTGGATGGTGCTGGGGATATAAATGGAAGCTATGGTTGTCCGTCGCAGACCATAGCTTTTAGGAAAGGATTGCAAGGCATAGCTATACCTACACTTCTTAATTTACACATGCAAACTTATTCTACTCAACTCTCATAAAGATGAAAATTTTGAATCAGCCTGAGGATCATGTTGATGTGCTCATTGTCGGGGCTGGGCCAGCTGGCCTCATGCTGGCAAACTGGATGAGCCGATTAGGAATCAAGACACGCATTGTGGACAAGCGTAGCACAAAGGTCGGTTCAGTTGACCTCCATATTGAAGACTACTGATGCCTTGCGCAGGTATTCAGTGGCCAAGCAGACGGGCTCCAGTGCAGGACCCTGGAGATCTTTGATTCCTTTGATTTTGCCCACCGCGCCTGGAGAGAATCGAACCACATGCTGGAAATCTGCCTCTGGAATCCCGACAAGGACGGCGTTATCCGTCGATCTGATCGTATTCCAGATACTATCCCTGGTATTAGTCGCTTCCAGCAAGTGGTTCTCCATCAAGGCCGCATTGAACGGTTCTTCCTTGACTCCATCAAGGAGCACAGTAATATTACCGTGGAAAGAGGAGTGATGCCCACTTCGTTTGAATTCGATGCCTCTAAAGCTGCCGATGTCGATGACTACCCCATCACTGTCACCTTGCGCACCTTGACAGAGGAAGAGGCCACCCCGAACCAACAACAGGTTACGAACGGCGCTGCTGTTAGCGATGGGCTGTTCCGAAGTAACCTCTCCCCGGATGACACGGACGACATGCTACGAGCAGCTGAGCTGGATAGCCGTGCAAATCAGACCCAAGTTGTCAATGCTAAGTTCATGGTTGGCTGCGATGGTGCCCACTCGTGGGTCAGACGCCAACTAGGGTTTAAGCTGGAAGGAGATTCGACAGATTACATCTGGGGCGTGCTCGATATCATTCCCATTACCGACTTTCCGGATATTCGAATGCGTTGCGCGATCCATTCTGCCAACGCAGGATCTGTGATGGTCATTCCTCGCGAGAATAAACTCGTTCGGCTATATATCCAGTTGCAGTCAACAATCACCGGAGGTGGTAAGGCGGACCGTTCGAAGATTACACCGGATATGATTCTCAAGTCCGCACAACGCATCCTTCATCCCTACAAGCTTGACTATTCGTACTGCGACTGGTGGACTGCGTATCAGATCGGTCAACGAGTTGGAGATAAGTTTTCGCTAGAGGAACGGGTGTTCCTGGCTGGCGATGCGGTGCATACTCACTCACCAAAAGCTGGTCAGGGCATGAATGTAAGCATGCAGGATGGTAAGTGACATATCCCGTCCTCTGTAGTAACTGTTTGAAATTTACTAATGACCACTCAGCTTATAACTTGGGCTGGAAGTTGGCCCATGTGGTCAAAGGGTACAGCGACAGCGCAATCCTCAAGACCTACCAATCTGAAAGGAGGCGCATTGCTCAGGACCTAATCAACTTCGACTATCGGTTTTCTCGCCTCTTCTCCGGGCGTCCAGCTAAGGACGTCATGGATGAGGAGGGGATCAGCATGGAAGAATTCAAGATGGCGTTCCAGAAAGGAAACATGTTTGCAAGTGGTATTGGTAAGACAATGCAAGCGCATCTCAGCAGTTGGGCTCGGTCTGACAATATTGAAAACAGCTGTCGACTACGGCTCTAGCCTCCTCGTTGCAAAGGAGGGAGACTCCGGCGAACAAGGCGATGGCACGGATGTCGCAAGCAAAGACAAAAGCCTCAGGGTAGTCAGCAAGCAGCACCTGTCAACAGGAATCTCCGTTGGCATGAGGATGCCGAGTTTCAAGGTGCTCAACCAATCCGATGCTCGGCCATGGCATCTCCAAGAACTGCTGAAGAGCAATGGCCGATGGCGCGTGATTGTCTTCGCCGGCGATATTACCAACCCCGAGAACTTCGGCCGCTATAGCCAGCTGGGAGAAAAGCTTAACAGTCCAACTTCATTCCTTCGCAGATATACGCCAACTGGGCAGCCAATCGACAGTGTTATCGAAGTCCTGACTGTCCATGCCGGACCCCGCACAAGCTTTGAACTCTTAGACCTCCCCGAAATATTCCATCCGTATAGCGAGAAGCAAGGATGGGATTACTGGAAGGTGTTTGTGGATGATGAATCTTATCACGAGGGTCATGGAAAGGCGTACGAGAACTACGGTATCGATCCCAGACGTGGAGCGAGTGTCATTATCCGACCCGATCAATACGTCAGTTGGCTCGGTGAAGTGGATGACTATGAGGACATGGAACGCTTCTTCTCTGCGTTTATGAAGCCTCAGTCGCAGCTGGCCCAGAAGGAGGTTCCCATAGCTGCGGAAGCTTCCACTCTATGAAAAACGACCTGTACCTTCTATTTTCCCCTCTCTAACCTATGTGGAGTGATAATGAAAAGATGTCGTGGATCTTTGCTTGATACCATTTTGCCTTATCGTCCAATTTCGGATGATACCTGTGAAATATTTCTCGACTATTTTCAATTCTAGGAGAACTCATTCGAACAGAACATGCGCAGAGTTTGACTTGCTAGATCAGGATTCTGGATCTGTACTTGGTTACTGCATGCATCGAGCATGAAGAGCTAACAACGGGTTCGAGACTCGACCAGTGGATGTAACAACGATTAAGGACCTGGACCCATAAGGTATGAGATGCCAGAGCCCACTGCAGTTAGAATTGTGAGTGGCTGAACCGGTGGCCAGGCAGTCCATCGGCCCCATGGATCGCCGTAATAGGGCTATTGTACAGGTATAAGCTCTGAGAATTGACTTCCAAGTTGCAGATCATATGGTGACGGAATCATCATTTCATATCGGATTCAGGCGGAAGAGCCTGCCAGTTCTGATGTTGTAGAGCTCTAACCATTCTTGAGCAGTCATCGCATACTACGAGCACAGTAGTTCTGCTCAGTACAAGCTCCAGGTGCATCTGCACTGCCGCCCAACAGCTGCTGTAGCTTATTGCTTGACGATCATTCTTTGACTGACCCTGACTACACTTTGCTTTTACCTCTACAACTTCGATGATAAAGTCTACATATTGAGTAAGCCAGAAGATCAACCTGATTGATCCGTACGGTGGCTCGAATTCCATGTACTGGTGATTTCATGATCGCGCTCCCATGCATGACGTAGCATATTTTCCATTTCCGCAGCATATCGTCATTCTCGGCCTCCGGACATTCCGCACAGAATAAAATATTCTTCATCCCTAGAATCAAGCAGCGCATCAGATCTGCGTCTTGTTATCTTAATTTTCTCGTCGTGGCACCTGTCAAACTGCGTGTTCGAACCTACTTCCTTCGCGTCGTGGTGACTTACCCAGTATACTAGCTAGGGCAACTATACCCAACTGCGACTACAACCTCGCCAAAGAACGAGATAAGAACAGCAGCCAGCTCAAAAACTAGTCAAGATGGCCCTCACAGGAATTCAGATCGGCCTGAGAGTATGGGAGGTACGTGTAGACTTCCTTCCACAGCCACAACATCTAGAAATCGGACGAATAGCTAACAAGCGAGTAATGTGCAGTTCGTCTTCTCCGTGCTCGTCATGGCCTTGATCGGTAACATCATCGCCATGGCGTTCGCAGGCAACCCCGCCACGATCAACTACAGCATGTTCACTGCCACATTCTCGATCGTATCGCTCTTCTACCTCGTCCCCGCCTCGATCAACATGAACTGGGCCATTCACCCCATCATCATGATCACGCTCGATGTTCTGAACAACATCTTCTTCCTGACTGCTGGAATCGCACTGGCTGCTAAGCTGGAATGCCACTCCTGCTCCAACGATGTACGTTGCGGCATCCATACAGTTTGGTTTTCACCGACTAACGAGCCTAGAATTACACACTCCACAACGAAATCACCAACGGCGCAAACAACCGTCAGAAGCGATGCCGTGAGGCTCAGGCCTCTGTTGCGTTCCTGTGGTTCGCTTGGGCTGGATACATGGCTTCGACGATCATTTCTATCATTAGTGCTCGTAGCGCTACTGCCGGCGTTCGCGGCCGGACCGGTCGTGCTCCTCGTGGACGCCCTAGCATGGCTCAAGTCTAATTGCCGTGACACTGTATGTAATCCCAATTTTCTGGCGACACAGGCTCTAACCAGTCAGTAGTCTTCGGTAGCAGACGTCTCTCTACCAGCTCATACGACTGTAACGACAACCGTCAATGCTGAGAGAGTCTGCATTGGTGCCAACGATGTACGACGTTCGATGATCTTATGCCGATGAAAAATAGGCTGGGACGACAGGGAAAAAAACTATTTGGTACTTAATGATAATCTGGGGTACACCATTATAGGAGTCATGGGGTGGAATATGGGCGGGATAGGTCCGGTTATGGATGGCAGGAATGGGTGGAGGACTGGAGTATTGGCTTCTTTTCATATCTGTTCATCTGTACTTTATACGTACTCGGATGCTTAATACTTTGCTTTAATGTACTATTTGGGAGTATACAAAATGATCTGTGGAGTAAATTTCATATCAAGGAGCAGCATAGAACAAGACATCGACACAAAGCACGCCAACATCAAACATCTGCGCTTTGCCGCTTGACCATCACAACCATCGACTTTCGCACAATATCCTTTGCATCTCCGAAGTACCGTCCTGATCGGAAGCTACCATCGAAAGCGTCAGCCAAGTACCAAACGACGTAGTCTATACGTACCTCCAATTCAGATTAGCCATCACGACATTCTGCACGCCCCGAATATACTGCTGCACTTGAGCATCGACCTGCTCACCCCAGCTCGGGAGCTCTGCCAGCGCAAGATACCAGTCCCTATACCGATCGACAAGCATATTGCCGATATGGTTGAAGGCCATTTGAGCGGGCATGCCAGAGTAACGGCATATAGCGACGACATTGTGCGTTACTCCTTCTTTCTGTTGCACATCAGTATCATTTATGAGAGTTAGTGATGAAGGGCTAGGGAGGTTACCTCTTCCTTACAGTAGGATAGTATATCGTTTTGTCTGTCCACTTAGTATCCGATTAAAATCAGAATGAGAAGACTTACAGAAGAACAAGGTCAACTCCGATACGCTCTATCTCCTTGATACTTCTGCACTCGAAGACGTGGTCCGGGATATCCAGCTTATGTGCGTATCTGATGGTATGAGTACAACTGTACCGATGTCATGGGCTAGACATACTCGACCAAAGCGAAAAGAGGCGCAACACCCGCCGACTGCCTTCGCAGCGCCAGCATCTCGTCCAGGGATGGGTATCGGCCCATGGAGCAGGTACGGACTTGCTCTATGCTGCCCTTGCAGTAATCCCTCATTGAAACGGCGAATCTGCGTTTGACTCCTGTAGATCACATGAGTGGTTGTACAGGGATGACCTACGGTCATACATACCAGCAGGAGAAGCCTGAGACTTGTCAGCGAAATGACTTGGCCAGAAAATAAGAGAGAAGGGGCCATACCTGAGCCACGCGCTGCCATACCGTGTTGTGAACTCGAACCAGGGGACTGTCTCCCTCAGACGGCAGCTGAGCACCCTCCTCGCGCATCCCGGCAAGTAAACTATCGATGAGTTGTTGAGCCCGCGCAGGATCGTCCTTCAGGCCTCCGTTATCGAACACTGCCAGGATATGCTTAATACTCGGACTACGAGCGCTTCCGGACAATGGAAAGGGACATACTATCGTCGAATGGAAACACCCAGTTCCCCCAATCACACACAGTGCGCAATTCCTCCGGACCAGCATCAGGCGCCGCGACGGAACAGAAGTACGAGAAATCTGTTTTGTTCAGGATCCGCCGCGATCTCTCATCGAAGGAGCATTCACTGGATAAATAGACGATTTAGTTGGCTGGGTTTGTAGTTCATCATGGGCTAGGTTACTGACTTGGCCAGCCATTCTTCGGATTCCTTCCTCACCACTTCGTAGTGCGGATTGACTACCGGATTCTCAGACAGAAATAGCACGAATAATTGGGGTAGACGAACGGGGATGTGCGTATCGTGTGTTGCTGTCCGCTTCTCTCCCAGCCGGACTGGGTGCTCGTGTAGCAGAAAGTCCGTCATTTTGGCCGATGGATATAGATAATATGATACAGATAAACTGTTTGGTTGGACTCGTAGAACTAATACAATTCTTGTCTTCAAAATCTGGAGCCATCGCAACGAGTGATCATGATTTTATACCCAGAACCCTCCATGGCGATCAGATTTGGAGTGAACTGTAAAGCGACAGTAACAGAAGTCTTTCCATGGCCAATACCCACGATACTCTGAACTCTGATAGCGCTAACGCATAATATTTCTGTCATTGGACATGAAATCCGGACGATAGTTGCGAAGCGCGATTTCTTTCACTGCCACTGACTTGTGGGTTAGAGTTCGCCCCGTCTCGCCATGATCTTCGTGGCCATCAATCATAGCTGCAAGTTTGGAGTCGTGCTATCTCAATGTGCAAATTTCGACTTCAAATGCGCCTACATGTGGATACAAAGACAAAGAAGATGGTCTTGTTATCGTTCTCCACTGTGGAGAGAAAGGACCGCATATCATAGCGCCACTATTGAGCAACTATTACTGCGTTGATCATTGCCTGAGCGGCTGAGCCCTTATTTCGGAAGGGTTCTGTATCCCGGTCTTATCATCTCGTCTGAGTCAAGATGTAGAGGCAAGATGACAGCTCGTCAGCTCAAGCTTCAATGGCTACACAAAACTTGCAGACCCGTTCATCAGAACATGTTCTTGTGGACAGGTGCCCGCTAACCTCCAAGATTCCCGCTCTCAAAGAGTATACTGACTGACTCAATCCCGACAGACTGGTACACTAAAGCCACGCCGAAGTCTCTTTCCTTTATCTCTCTCATCCCCACCGCAATGGTCGCGAAGATCGTCAACATGGACTGAGACTGAATGAGCATATGCTCTATCTCTTGTTTTGGCGAGTGCAAGATGTTCGAAATCGAGGCTATCGGTTGGATGGTTCTCGACCCTGTTCCCCTCGCGCTGCCGCTTTGTTATGGCCTCATTGAATGACCGAAGCTCAGCTAGGTTCATTGGTACGAAGCATGACAGGGACAATATCAAGCGAGAAGTACCTAATTGGCTACATTATAGGTCTCCTCTACTCGATTCCAAATTCCGGCGGCGGTCTCTGGCGTGCTTCATGCTTCAATAGTGGTTTGACTATCCAAAGCAGGAAACAGCCTTCTCTCGAGACACGGTAGAGGGCTTCATTCCTTTGTTTCGATCAGCGCAATGGCCTCGTGTGCAATGCCTAGTATGCAATGAGTCGGCTACGTCGGCATGATGGCTTCACCATGAACGACTGGAGAGGATTGATCTGCTGTCGTCTGACCCTCACCTAGCTCAATGCTTTCTCGAAGCTAGAAAGGGACACAGATGAAACCGGCGTATATAATGTCGTAGCTGGGACTGTTGATAGCCCTAACGATATAGAATTAGAGCACAAGCAGTATGTCTTCTACTTCGTCTTTCTCCAACTCTTCCCCCCGTGTTGGGGAAACAATAAGCAAATGGGGCTATTCGTTCAAGTGGACTGATACCCACCTCGCCCAGGAAACCATCAAGCCATTGCGCCAGGAGTACGATACCGTGGGTGCAGCGGCCCTGGAGCGAATCCAAGCAGTTCGTGCTGCTCTGCTCGAAGAAAGCAAAGCAAGAGGGACTCCTCCGCCCCCAAATGACCTCTACATCCTTCTTCGAGACCACCACGGCGAAGACGAGACGCTGTCCCGGTTCTGGAATGAGCTCCATACCGTTCCTGACTGGGTAGACTGGGAACAGCTCGAGCGAGGCCAGAGGTTCTTCTACCGGTATGCTATTGCGAATATCGTCGGCTTTGCATTGCAGGGGTTCATGGCGGAGAATTCGGTAAGCCCTTTCTTTTTCTGCTGGCATGCTTCTTGTAACAGTCATGATCACTGACTGTCCTAAAGGCCGCCTCAGGAGTCGTCGAAGTCCTCGTCCGAACCGGCGGGTTCTCCACCCGCATGCTCCTCGGACGACTGCTCGAGACCTTCCAGTGGCTCGTGCAAGTCACTCACAGCCTCGCGGCCATCCAGCCCGGAGGAGACGGCCACACTGCAACGATCCGCATCCGACTCCTCCACTCCGCAGTCCGACAACGAATCCTCAAGCTCTGTGAAAGGAAACCAGAATACTACAACGTCAACCAACACGGTATTCCAATCAACACCCTCGACTCCATCCACTCCATCACCACATTCAGCTGCAACCACATGTGGCTCCAGCTGCCCAAGTTCGGAGTCAAACCTTCCCAACAAGAGATTGACGACTATATCGCTCTATTCCGGTACCTGGGCTACCTCCTCGGCACGCCAACTGCCTTCTTCGAGACAGCCGAGAAAGCAAAAGTGACCATGGAGAGCTGCTACCTGCATGAGCTCCGGATAACGGAGACTTCGCGCGTGGTGGCGTACAACTTTGTGCAGTGTGTGCAGAACTTGCCGGCGCCGTTCCATGTGTCTAGGGGATTCATCGAAGCCGGTAGTCGGTGGATAAATGGTGATGAACTCTGCGATGAGCTTGGTCTTGGACGGCCGGGGGTGTTGCACTACCTTGCTTTCATGGGGCATTGTATGCTGGTTGTATTTATGGCTTGGGTGCAGCGGCTTGTACCTGGTCTTGATGGCTTTGTGATCAATGTGAGTTCGTGGTAGTTCCGTTTTACTTGAATGATGAGGTGCTGACAGTCTAGCTCTTCCGATCAATTCTTTACACAGGCCTCGTGCGCAGAAAGTCCCGTACTACCTTCCAGTTTCAGTATGTTCCGCAAGAGGGCAAGAAAACTGGCAGGGAGGCATATCAGACGGGCAAAAACGTTCAGACCGATCAGACGAGTCATGTATCCATGGGCCTGTTTGAGATTATATTCTTGTCTGTGGCTCTTGTTTTCGGCGGTGTCACGGTGGGAGGTATTCTGGCAAGTGGGCTACGGATAGTTGATTTGAGCGGAAGAAGAGCAGTATAAGCGGAGTATAGAGTATCAAACTATCTTAAATCTTGCTTAACATAAATCTAGTTACAATTGAAGTACAGAATAGTATCAAGCTATCTTGAATGATATGTGGAAAAATCCAATCCCATACTGCAATGTTCACACCTGGACAATTCGCCTTAGCATATAGCTTAGCATGACCGGCTTCCTAACKAGGTTCAACCCGTTACTGAGGGAAAGTTGTTTCTTGTTTCTCGGGCGTTTGACATCGTAGACAGCGCCGCCATGCGGAGAAGGAAATCTGTAAAAGAAGCGAACACAGCCACCTGCAAAAGCAGAAGGCAGCCGAATACTAGAGCGAACAGCCGCAGGGCAGTGCTCTGTCGTCGACACCCTCGTTCCATAATGGTGTCTTAGGCTCAGGAGTACCTGACCCTCAGCTAGGAACGGAGTTTTCAACGACGAAAGGCAAGGCAGCAATCCTTGAGAATGAACTCCCAAAGGACTCGGGAGTTCGATATCGCAACTCCGTTTCGACGAAAGCTGTGTTTGACGCAGGATGTCATCTGCAAAGGACAATGCCCAGCTCGTCGTATAATCAGCTTCTTTGATCACTTGGAGGCAGTAATGCCATTTTGAACTTCTCGGTAAACTCGTCTTCCACTTCTTTCGTCTTCTTCTTTTCCTCTCGTCTCCTCCGGTGTCCTTGACTTCTTCGATTTTGACTTGGGGGCCATTTCTTGCATTGGGCCCAGAATATAGAGTTTGGCGATGGGCCAACCGACTTGCTGATTGTTCGTGCCACCGGTTGATACCGTCTGCTGCTGTCATAAGGGGCAGTCGCCGTTTGGTCTCTGGCACCCAGAGCAGAAGAGGCCCAAGTGATGCCCTAACAAGCTCTACCAATGCTGTGGCATTGGATCATTACCACAAGGACATCCGATGATATTCGATCATCGCCTCTAGGGCATTCCAACCTCGTTCTCTGAATGTGACCTGCGTAAGTAATTGTTCCATTGGACTTTGATGTCCGAGCATGTTCGGACCGTATGCGTCCACGTGAAGAAATAGTCTGCCACCATACATGTCGTTATCATCACTTCAAGACTCCGATGATATCCAATCATCGCCTCGAGAACATTCCAACATTCTCCTCCGAATTGGACATGCATACGCAAATGCCCATTGGACTTTGATTGTCCAAGAATCTTCGCCCGTACGTATCCAGGCGAAGAAATACCCGGGCAGATAAATTCGACCGCCGTCCCATTCTATTAGTGTTGGACGGCTTCAAAATTGGCCTCCAGCTTCAGAAAAGAGATGACAATGGCGACCTTTTGGGCCTGCGAGAGCCGGATCGCTGACCGAACGGCAGGAATGTTCCGAACGCGGTCCACAGGGCATCAGGCCCATTCCGAGGCCGAGGAGCAGACGCTTGAAGAAACATAACTGGACCGGCGACATACCAGCCAGTAGCTGAGCTGGGAGGCGTCATCTACCCAAGTCAGTTCACGTCTTGCTCCTGATAGGATCAGACTTACCATACCGACATCCGATTGGTGTCAAGGACTTGCGAGGTCTGCATATGCCTCTGAATCCGAGAAGCCACATCGAGGGAAGGCCCGAGGCCGACGATTCTTCAGAAGAAGCTTCGTGTGAGCCCGTTCAATATCCGCCGTTGTGGGTAATGGCCGAACGCGCCATTCTCAAGGTCCAAGGCCGAAGCGCACGATTCATCAGCAGAATCTCCGCAAGTGCCTCTGCCTCTGCAGGGTCGCCGGTCCCTGATCAAAGGGTCAGAGAGCCAGCAATCAGCAGAATCTCCGCCGGCGAGGCGGCCGAACGTGGCAACAGAACCGGAATGCCCGATGCGCGGGATTCCGAGTGGACTTGTTGCATGGGACTTCCCAAAGCCAATAACGGTTTTAGGAGAGGCAGAAGGGGAAGATTCATCAGCAGAATCTCCGCCAGGTCCCGGGAAGTTGACAGAAGGTTCTGAAAGAGGCACACCTCGAATTTGGTTTGTATTTCCAAAAGATAAAGGATAGCACTTTTAAGAAAGATAAAGAAGGATCCGAAAGGGAATAGGGCTCAGATGTAGCCCGACAACCCGAGTAGGAGAAGATGAAGCCTCAAGTCTTGCTTGCTGTGTGAGTGATGAGATGAGAAGAGAGTTCTGACCTGGGGGTCTACGGGGTCTTTATATGTCTGCCGACAGCTGTGAGTCAATCTAATCCGGTGAATCGAGTGTAAGAAATGATTACTTCCGGTGAATCCATGGAGAATGATACATAGAGAATGATAGATAGGCGTGTGAATGGGGTTGGCGTGAGGTTGTACGCCGAGCTTTTGTATACTCACTATGCGGGTCTCTGCAGGAGACGATGAATATCTCCTAGAAGCAAAGAGACGATGAACAATGCTGAGAAGCAAACGGAAACGGACGTTGAGCAACGCCGAGAAACAAAGAGACGAGGAACGTTGTCAGAAAAATCATGAGCATCAAGCTGGTGTCAACCCAGAAGTGAACCTTTCCGATGGTCATGTCTATAGATGATGCACGCGTTGATTTGTTTTTAGTGATACAGGAATATCAGGAACAAATCCCACAGTATCTACATGTACACTGTATGAAAACCCGCTCAAGAGAAAGAATTTTGGACCGATCCGTATCTGTACCGATTAGCAACAGACCACTGTAGTTGAGAGTGTAACTCACCCATGAGGACACCGGCTTCCCAGAGCGACACTACCACTCCTCATGTAGCAGATCTTCGCTTCCTGACACACCACACTGGTGCAGTTGGGGGACTTTTCGCTCATCTTACCCTGATAAGTATTGTGCAAGCTCACAAGGTCAATATCCTTCTCCATAGCCTCCGTCACCCGATGCCAAAAGGTGGCATTCAAGGGGTCTTCCTTTTCCCAGCCTGCTGCGGGACCGTACGTGTCACGGGTTGAGTATTCAAACTGAAACGTGGGACCAGCGTCTATGAGTGACGGGTAATCGGATACATTGCTGAAGAAGGTGTAGGCCTCATAGATGTTGAAGTCGCCAGTGTCCACTTCGTACATCCTGAATCCGCTGTTCAGGTTCGTCAATGGGGTGATGCTCGGTACGATCCAGCCGGTTGTCAGGGCTGTATCCGCGCTCTGTAATGTGCCGTTGTTGGCATAGTAGATCATGAACTGGTCCTCGTGGGTATGGCCGAAGAAGATATTGGCGATGACATGGGGCGAGTAGCGGTCCACAATCTGGTAGAACAGATTGGTGGGATCAGGGAGAGGACTGGAGCCATCCCATCCGCTGAGGACATGGCCGATTATCCAGACCCGCTCGCTGGCATCTTCGGCCTTTTGAAGCTCGTCAATCATCCAGGAAAAGATGCCAGAGTTGTCGGGATTAGTGGAGTTGATGAAGTTGAAGTAGTTCTTCTCCAACCAAAAATCTGATAGGGTCAGTGCCTAGCATAACTGATGGGCATCCAGGTACTTTTACCAGTATTGAACGCAATAATGCGCAGACCGTAGTGAGTCTTGACAGAATATCCACCGTAATGTGTGCGCGCCTCTGCGGCAGTCTTGTCATCGATCCATCCTTCATGTTTCCAAAGTCCGGCAACATGCTCGTAGTTCCAACTCTGCTGTTCACCCAGAGGCCCTGGAAGGTTCTGAGGAGCATTGATATTCTCGGGGCTGGTATCATGATTGCCCAGCGCAGCAAAGACAGGTCCGGTCAGGTACTCTTTGAACATGCCATAGATGCTAGTCTCTGTGTACTCGAGATATTCTCGAGACATTTCCTTGACCGGATCATGCGACACAAGATCACCAGTGTAAAGAGACCAAGCCAGAGAATCATCATCGTTTCCTTTTCTGGTCCCAGTCAAGGGCCCAATCGCTTGAAGGGCAGCCAGACCAAGATCATACGGCGTGTCACACTTGAAAGTCCCGTACGCCGGGGCAGGGAGGAGGACCTGGTCCCTCGAAGCAGAATTGAAATTGTTATTACGGCAGCACAATCCTGACGAACAATTACCCTCGGAGCTGACCGAGTACCGCGAATCCAGGTGAAAGTCCGAAAGATGCACCACCTTGACCCGCTTCCCGCTCGCCTTGGGAACGCGAGGATTTGATGGCTTGGGCTTGGGGAAAAGATCAGAGGTGTCCAGTGGACTCGTCGCTGGCTGACCGCAGAAGGACTTGCTCAATGCATGGCAAATATAGTTGCCATCAAGGCCCTCGACATCCGCGTAGGCCAGCACTTGCGTCCAGACGGCGCCGAAGACTGACGCAGCATAGTCCTCTTCGCAGGTGGAATTTGACTTGAAATTGAACTGCTTGCAGAGCGATATCATGGTGTCGGGCACTAGAGTCGGTGCATACAATGCAGCAGGTTTGGCTGCGGCCAGCGCTGCCTTACATTGGTTGCAGCTACCGTGCGTAGCATTACCGTTGATGATGCTGGTCACATTAGCCACCACAGCTTCAATGAGATCGTGTTGTTGATGGTCAGAGAGCTTCTTCGAGGGGGCTGGGAAGACCACTGGGTCGTTGTTCTCAGTTGGTATAGTGTTGGGATTGGTCAGATTGTATGGGAAAGTAATATTCAGCACAGGATCCTGAATCACGGGCTGGGGCTCTTGAGTGGGCTCCGCTGGGAGGTAATAGTAGGAGCTGTACGGAGTGATGCAAGTCAGCTACTACACGTTGCTGGTTCATCCAGACTTACGAAAATGCAGATGTAGGAAACCCAGCTGGCGCAACATAAGAGGACGCGCCGGGAAGAGATGAAAGATCCCCTTGACCCGGAACTGCGGGGAGGGAGGCTAGGACTGCCTGCCACTTCATTGCAGCCAGTAAAGATTTGAGAGAATTATAAACGACAGGAAGAAATCATTCAAGGAAGTGTCGGGATTATACAACGGCATTGAATCAATTTCCCGCTCAGTATCAGCCTGTAGCTGAATCAAGCTCCACCAAGAATTCGAGATGCGATGCGGTAAACAAGCAAATTTCCTGTTTGGGACCACTTGGTGATGCACGTGGGAATGATCGTCCAATGGAATGGGCACAGTCTGACACACAGGATTATGGAACACTTCATTTTTGATATCTATCCGTTTAGCTACAAGTTTTGCTGTCAGATAATTTAACGATGTCAACAACGCCATGAAGTCCGAGGCATGGATGCTCCACGCCTCTGTATCTATATATCGGGTAGAGTACAATAGGAACCATGCAACCGTTGCAACTTGACTCCAGACGTGCAGTCGAGTCTCCGCATCCCATATCCTACATATAAAGTCATACGTCGATATCCATCGATAGCAATGTCTTCTACCTATCGCGCTCAGCCAACAGTGGTGAAGTATCTGGTGCAATGCCAATTGCCCAACCCTACCAGCGACTAGCCACGGGTAAGTGTGCAGGGTAGAAACAGTGATGCAGTATATTTCACAGGATACACACAATGCAACATATGCAAAGCCTATTCCACCCTCAACCTGTCAGATCTCCATATCCGAGACTGACCCGCACGGTTATGATGTCATTGATAAGGTATCCTCCCGTACATCCACACAGCTCAAAACGCCGAGGTCAATACCCAGAACGGGCAGAGGCGAATCTATCGGCTTGAGAATTCGGTAGTGTGAGCTTTGGATATATATTTTAACGGCTTCCTACGGCGGACATATAGATCGCTACAAATTGAGAGAGAACTACATCACGTTCAGTAGAAGATACCTTTGTATTCCTTTATCCTATTTGATCTGTCGGAGAGTCATAATCAAAATGCCCGTCGTTCCTTCCCTCAAAGACTCAACCTTCGATACCGACATCCGCGATCGTCATCTCATATACGACTATGCCGCACAGGACGCCCACGGCAAACCAGAAAAATGGCGCTATGAATTGTGGTTCTATAACGAGGACCGGGTCGTCTATGCCATCCACGGGGGGCCCATGGCCGGTCGTAAGAATTTCCAAGCAGCCACGTTCCAATGCATCCGACCCGGCGAGCTATGGCAGTGCAACTGGCTGGAAGAGACGGGGACCATCTGCTCGCTTGTATATGATATCCCCAGGAAGCGCATGACCACGACGATGGGATTCTCCAAAGGACACTGGGAGAATGCTGAGGCTGCGCATGGGGACAAGCGGAATCCGGAGGACTTGGCGCGGTGGAGAGGTCTGGCGAAGATTGGGGTCCAAACGGATCGGAAGCTTATAAGTGAGCAGGCGGAGATCGTGGAGGATTTCCGCGGAGCTGGTGATTTGGAGCCGATTGACATGGACTGGCCGACACTGTAGGCGGCCGCCAAATGGTGCAGAGCATTGGCCGAGGACACTGGGTTATGACGATTGAGGAGTATATGGTCGACCTTAAAGGTATCAGAAAGTGGGATAAGGGTCGATTCTAATATGTCGTAACATTTTTGAGTACAATTGTAAACAGAGCGGTTCCTCTCTTGTCGTTTTATCAATAGACATGTTCCTGTTCATCCGTTAAGATGTCGGCCCGCTGGCCGCTAAACACGCGACGTCTTTGTCAAAGCCCACACAGGTACCAAAAAATGAATGACCCCGGCCACTAGACAGGTAGACAGAGTAATCAATGGTTTCAGTGTCGAGATGTCCAGGAGTGGCCTATGTAAGGTTCGAGTTCACCTAGACGAATGCAGACGAGAGGCACCCTGTACAGTTATGCGCTTCGGCAGGGGCATTGACCGACCCTTTGAACCGCAAAGGATCTGGTTCGACTGTGTTTCGGAGGATATCTCTCCAATGTTTCACTCTTGGAAGCCCACAATCATGATATGCCACAAATGCATCATGATGACCGTGGGATTGAGCAATAAGGGTTGAACAGAATCCTAGCACGGCGAGTAATGAGCGTTCGATAGAGCCCAGGGACGGACTCAGTCCCGGTTGAACTATCGAGGATTGTATCAATGGATTGATCTTCGGTGCTGCAGTGTAGACGTGTCCCTTAGC